ATGTTTACCAATTGACATCCAAATAGATTTGTTCAATAAAAATGTTAAACCAATTTTGCTCTATGGATGCAAAATTTGGGGTTATGGAAACATTGACATGATAGAAAGAGTTCAACTTAAGTTTCTAAAATATATTTTAGGATTAAAATCTTCTACCTCAAATACAATAGTGTATGGTGAAACAGGTGTAACACCGCTCTCAGTAGATATAGAATCATGATTAGTTTCTTTTTGGGCAGATATAGTTGTCCCAAAGACGTTTAAACTAACGCTAAAAATGATTTATTTAGCTCTTTATAGTAGTAATTTTTTAAATACACAGCAAAGCAATAATTTTATGTGGATAACGTGTATTAGAGATATACTCGTCAAATGCGGCATGAACAATATTTGGGACACGCATCTTTTTCCAAATCAAAAGTGGTAGACCGCAACAGTTAAACAAAAGCTAATAGACCTGTTTCTTAACAGCTGGTATTCAAACTTAGAAACTTCTGGAAAGTTTAAAAATTACAAGTTATTTAAACACAAATTCGAATTTGAAAAGTATATCACAAATACACATCCTAATTTACTTAGATATCTGATTAAATTTAGAACAAGGAACCATAGATAACCAGTAGAAACTGGATCTTGGCATGGGATAGAACTTAATATGAGAAAAAGTACATTATGTAATTCCTCAGTTGGAGTTGAATTTAACTACTTCCAGAATGTAAATATTTTGATCGCCAAAGAAAAAAATACTTAGGACCCAATGATTACATTAGACGAAACATTTATTCTTTTGATAAACTTATGAATATAAACAACCATAGTAATTTTGAATATAAGAAACTATGTATCTTTATTAGGGATATAGTTGAAAAATTAATATAATGAAAATTAAATGCAGATAACAAGTGTAAATTTATTACATGCACATGTTTTGTATGTTAAAAGTTCCCAAGGTACTCTCCAGTTACATGTTTTATATATGCTTATATTCTTTGTATGTATTCTATTGAACCTCGAAACTTTGTTAATATTTATTTACCTCATGTTGTCAATGTCTTGACCTAAGAGAAATAAAGATATTTGTATTTGTATTTGTAAAGAAAAGTGATAATGAATAATTATATAACATCAACATTATATTTACATCATATTACATGTTGTATGCATGTTTGAGTGAATAAAAGATGTGTTGTTGTTGTTGTTGTTGTTGTTGTCAACATTAATTCAGATGTGATAATCAAACAGTTTAAAGCAATCAATCAACAAAAAAGGTAAAGCTGTGAAAAACAAATCCTTTAAATAAGTTGGTAGTATCTTTCATGTCTGTATTCGATGTAAATTAAAGATGGTTTCGTGAGTGTTAATGCGATAATTAGGAAGAAATGCATAGAATTTCGAGTTAAAAGGTTTGTATAAATTAAGTTTCCAACAATCTTTTTTCAGTTCATTTGAATGTTTTTATTAAATACGTTCATCAGTATAATTAATTTAATACAGAACAGAACAGAACAGAACATATCTTTTATTTTCACCCAAGCATTTTTCAATACAATATGGGGGCATAACACATTTTTTATATAACAGAGAATGCATAGTTCCGGTAAGAACAAAAAAAGTATATAATCATTTAACACAGTACATTGCCAAAGAGAAAAAAAAACTCACACAAAAAAAAAACTTTACTAAATTACCAAAAAAAAATACAAACTATGGAATGATATATTGAGCAGGGGTTTGTTAACATTAAATCGATATACACCATTAATTTATTATTCTACGTGTAACTACATTTGAAAAAAAATATATTTGTTTCGTTTTTTATTAACTTATTTTCAATGAATATTTAATGTGTAAAAAAGTATTGGAATATAACTAAACGTTTGAAAAAATTGATATTGTTTTTGTGTTTAATCACTTTATGTCATTATGACTGATAACTGTATTGATTGTGGATATATTGTGCGTGACAGAATAGATGAATACCATAAAACTCAATAATGTCTGGATACTTTTTCGAGATTAATGTACAATCTAAGAAAAATGTAAAATTGCCTCCTTTCTGAAATGCAAAATATATAAATCTTGATTTAACAATTTATTTCAATATTAAGTATATATCTCATATATCATATGTTAATTGCTAAGTCTCATGAAGATATATTGTTAACAAGCAAATTCGTTGAATTTATATCCCCCGCCGAGTACTGGTTATTATTAACACAACAATTGAAGACATAAGGCTTTATTTCTATATTAATCATGGCATAAACAGTAATATTCTTTAAACTTGATAAATATTCAGGGCAATATCAGAGCCATAACTTTGTGTTAAATAGTAATATCTGGAAATGCCAATGAGATGTATGCATACTACATAACTAATAAAGGGCCATAAATCTGAGTTATAAGTATCTGACCGGAACAAGGCGACTATATCTCCTCTTAGTATCCCATAAAGTTTCATTGAATTCCAGCCAGTAGTTACAGAGAATTAGCACGGAAACGATTATTGCTCTGGTTGTATACTGCCTAAGTTATCAAGGGTCATAACTCTGAGTTTAAATGTCTGACCCGAACAAGGCGACAATATGCGCATCTCCTCTTGGTATTGAAGGTTCCAATGAAGTTTCATTGAATTCCAGCCAGCAGTTGCAGAGAAGTAGCACGGTAACGATATTTGCTCTATATGCATACTGCATAACTAATCAAGGGCCATAACTCTGAGTTTAAGTGTCTGACCGGAACAAGCCGAGGATATGCGCATCTCCTCTTGATATTGAAGGTTCCCATAAAGTTTAGTTGAATTCCAGCCATGAGTTGCAGAGAAGTAGCGCAGAAACAATTTTTTCTCTATATGCATACTGCATAACTAATGAAGGGCCGTAACTCTGAGTTAAAGTGTCTGACCGGAACAAGGCAACAATATGCACATCTCCTCTTGGTATTGAAGATTCCCATAAAGTTTCGTTGAATTCCAGCCAGTAGTTGCAGAGAAGTAGCGCGTAAACGATTTTTACTCTATATGCATACTGCATTACTTATCAAGGGCCATAACTCTGAGTTAAAGTGTCTGACCGGAACAAGCCGACGATATGCGCATCTCCTCTTGGTATTGAAGGTTCCCATAAAGTTTCATTGAATTTCAGCCAGTAGTTGCAGAGAAGTAGCGCGGAAACGATGTTTTCTCCATATGCATACTGCATAACTAATCAAGGGCCATAACTCTGAGTTTAAGTGTCTGACCGGAACAAGCCGACGATATGCGCATCTCCTCTTGGTATTGAAGGTTCCCATAAAGTTTCGTTGAATTCTAGGCAGTAGTTACAGAGAAGTGGTGCGGAAACGATTTTTACTCTATATGCATACTACATAACTAATCAAGGGCCATAACTCTGAGTTAAACGGTCTGACCGGAACAAGCTGACGATATGCGTATCTCCTCTTGATATTGATGGTTCCCATAAAGTTTCGTTGAATTCCAGCCAGTAGTTGCAGATAACTACTCCGGAAACGAAATTCGGACGGACGGACGGAAGGACGGACGGACGGACAACGCCAAAACTATATCCCCCTCCCGATTCCATCGGCGGGGGATAATAACTTCTCTGAAAACATTTTGTACTGTATTATGAACAATTTATTGTAAAAAATACTAAAAATGTCTTACATTTTACCTATATTATGTAATTATTGTAGAACTATACATTGATCATTGTAGAACTATGCATTGAACATGGTATAACTATGCATCGGACATTGTAAAACAGTAAATTATGCATGTGTTGCTTGTTTGTTTATATTGAAAGTTTTTATATAAAATAAATAATAAAAGATATCATCGTTAAACTTTTTTTGTTGTTTTTGTTGTTAAGTTTTATTTTATTTCTTGTTAAGTGTTTACATTTTAAAGCAAAATAAATAATAAAAAACATGGGGCCGGGTTGACCAGAAATAACATTGGTTTGGGGCCGAGTTGACCAATTTGGGGCCGGGCTGACTTGGGGTCGGATTAACTTGGGGCCGGGTTGACTTGTACCGCAGCACTTGCAATCAAAATAAATCACCAAAAAGAGAGGACAAAATAAACAAAACATGTAAATTATAACATGAATCGCATTTTTTTTACTTTTCTTCAAATCTAAGTACATTTTTCTCATGCAGCTTTAAAAAATCAACTTAATCATTTGCCAGTTTTTTTCAGGACTAACCAGTACTTGGGTGTTATATATTGAAAACTATGTTCCAGTCTAGGCTCTACCTTTCATATATAAAGTTCAAACCGATTTCTCCTAAAAAAAAATCACTTGAGTTTTAGTACAATGTAAAATGCCAACACAATGTTTGTCTAGACCACTGATTTCTCCTAAAAAATAGACTGGATTTTTAGTACAATGTTATACAATGTTTGATCCAGACAGGATTCCAACACACAGTGATGAGGAACTACCAGTACAGTTAAGGTCATGTGTCACCACTCCAGCTTGACAATACTTGAAGGTTGATTGCATAACTGCAGTAACTTATATGAAATATAGAAGGACTTAAAACAGTTTTGTGTCAACCCTCAAAATGCCGAAAAACCTCAATGTATTATTTCTTTGTTTAGTTTGGTTTTATGGTGAACCTACACAATTAAGGTTGATTTCGGCTAACTCTGGGTGTTACAAACAAAGCAACACCAGGGGTCAAAACCTCCTCACCTGCTGGAGCTAAGAGATGCATAGACTCCAGTTATTCAAACCCATTTAGTCGCCTCTTATTATCACACAGGGTTAAACGTTGGCTGCAATTCTTATGCCTCAACCATTAAAGGCAACCCTTCAGTCACAAGGAGAATGCATTACTTCTAGTACCAATGTAGAACCACTGACCATAACTAAACTTGAAACCTGTGATGCGGGGAAAATTGATTAAAGTTGTTAATCATTTGGCCATAAATGTCAAACACTTAAATTGTTGGGGAAAACATAAATAGAATATAACACAAACATGTATACAAATTTTCTGTTTTATTAAGAAAATCAGAACAATCAAATTTCAATAGACAACATAATTACGTGACTGTATCGTTTAAATTTTGGTCGTGTACATGAAGAGAGGGAGATTATCGTGAAGAAGTGAAAAATCGTGACTTATAAATGAAAAAAAAACGTGACTAAGAAATGAGATAATAATTTGATGCACTTGAAATTTCTACCTATAGCAGGAAAAATAATACACTGAACTAAAATGATTTGAATGACTGACGTGCCTTGAATTTGAAACTGTCGTTTAGTTATTCAAGAGACATGACGTTCAATACAACAGTTTTATAACGGACTATGGCAAAGTACATGTTGTATGGCCTTATAATAATACATTATGGCAATACAGAATCCGGCCAAGCACAACACTAGTAGCACGAGCAAATAGTTATTGTCATTCGGGAGAATAGGTATTGTGATTTGTGCCCAAAGAGTTTCAATTTCTAATATATCACTATAAAATTTATGTAGTAGGTCAGACCAGAACATCCATCAATGATGCGATACCAAGCTTGGCTTAATTAGAATGGCTAGATAGCAACATTCAACATGACTTAACTCATAATAAATTAATATAATTTTACAATTGTCCTGTATTCTATGAACTACAGGAGTCTACGTTTAGACAAAACATATTCTTTTCTTTTAAATTTGTTATATTCTTTACACTAACAGCTCTGGAAGTAGTAAAATTTCAATTAAAAACAACTCCTTAACTACATTTAACAAATCATTTAACTCTCGAGGATAAATTTCTACAGAACTTCAAGTAAATATTCTCGAAAACAAACAATAAGAAACTTTTTTTTCACGAAACAAGAAAAACAGTAAAGAAATTGCACAGAGGACTAGAAAGCACAGAAAACAAAAGTGACTGGAAATACAGGTTTCTAGATATAGAGTACACTTACTAAACTATACCCACAGTCTGATCAACCCAAATAGTAACAAGCACAGTTTTCATGAAAGAATCATGCAGATATATTTGAAAGATATGAATAAGAAAACCAAACATTGTAATTATAAAATGACCGCTGGCACGAGAATACGACCCTTAACCCTATTTTAATAACCGATGTCAAATGACATTTACATTGTCTTAGACGTTAAAAATAAAAAAAAATTGCATCAGTGTTGGAAATACATGTAAATGTGAGTAAGTTAAGACAATAGGATTTCCATATTTTTATCTAAAATAGGATTTCCATAGTTTTTATCTAAAGTAGGATTTCAGTAGTTTTTATCTAAAATAGGATCCTTAGTTTATATCTAAAATAGGATTGCCATAGTTTTTATAGGATTTCCGTAGTGTTTATCTAAAATAGGATTTCCGTAGTTTTTATCTAAAATAGGATTTCCATAGCTTTTTTCTAAAATAGGATTTCCGTAGTTTTTATCTTAAATAAGATATTCATAGTTTTTATCTATTCCATAGTTTTTATCTAAAATAGGATTTCCGTAGGTTTTATCTATAATAGGATTTCCGTAGGTTTTATCTAAAATAGGATTTCCGTAGTTTTTATCTATAATAGGATTTCCATAGTTTTTATCTAAAATAGGATTTCCGTAGTTTTTATTCAAAATATTTCAATAAGTAGTATACTGAATATCTTTATCTTTTTTAAAGTAAACCTGTCGTTTGACGTTAAGTGAAGATTTCTCATGACAACGGCCAGTTCTGGTTTTAGGTGTCTGGTTTGAATACTAACAATTGCCAAGAAAGTTTCAAATATTTTGATTGGTCAGATTTAAAAAAAATGATTCACTTTATTAATTCACATTTAATAATATGAACACTAGCACATACTTGTAGCACACTTCAAAACAATAAACAACATGAGTTGTTAACATTTATAAACTTGTTGTGAAATAAACACAAATGAATGTATTTGCAAAAAAAAAGAAGTTTCGAAATAAGACTGCATGATTTTTGAATTTATAAAATGTTTAAATTATTCAACGAGGAAATAATGTGACAAGAATGTTTGTAAAAATTGTCATACAAAACTTTCCATCAACATTAGTATCTGAATTAATTCAATAAAAAAATCCCCCCCCCCCCACAAAAAAAAAACAAACAAAAAAAACAACTTAAAAAATGTATTAATTTCTATTATTCCATTTTTGTATAGAGAAAAAAATCCTAAAACTTTACTATCACACTTTATGAACAATTGATATGGCACATGTAAAAGATAACTCTTATCAACTTAATTGATTTAATAATCAAGAGTTATCTCAGCTTGACTGTTCTTAAATTAGAAGCTAGGTGTGAACACAAGGAATTACCATGACAAATCAATAATGTAAAATTGTAAGCGGAAAAGAAAACAATATTGAAATCACATATACATGACCCAATTCCTTATTTTCTAAAAATAATAAAATCAAGCTATGTTTTACATTTAATAGAGATAATATGAAATTCAATATTGTTAAAAACATAAATACCCAATTTTAATTGTTTCATTTCATAAATAAAAGCTGAGGTTGTTGAAAATGAGGAACAGCGCAAAATATACGGCTATCAAAAATCGTGATAATCTTGATTATCTCCCTTCCCTGACATTTTTCACACTGTTTTGAAATTAATGAAATATATAAATATATAAATAATATGAATTTAAGACAACAATAGCAGGGCTACAGTACAAATAATTGGACTTGATTTGTCTTGATTTGCGTAAACATAATTACTAATATCATCTAGCTAAATGAATGTATTACAAACTATATTTAATTATTTTTCCTATTATGAAATCTGAATTATTTAAAATATATTTTTTATACGTTTTATTGACTAATATTCATCAGCTTCAACTCAGTTTTTTAAATATAGAAACATTTATAAGTTATATAAATTAGTTTAAAAAATCATGAATATAACACCCTTGACACAAGAATGCCCTGGTAAAATAACTTGTAGAAAAAAAATCCCATAGATGATGAGGAAAAAAAATGAACAATTGATACAATATTTGAAAAATAAATTGTTGATTAACAAAAAAAAGTAATAAAAAAAAACATGTGTAATTATAAAGTGTAAAACAATAATGGAATCTATGACAACAATTTAACGAAGAAAAAAAACATGGCAACGCTAAGCTGTTGCGGTCGGACCTTCAGAGTCCTCGGCCGCAGTTCGAGCACTACAATAATATTTTTTATGTGTAAGGAATGATGACAGGTATGTAAAGTTGATATCACAATGTTTGCAATATTTTCGCCCGATTTTCTCACTAGCACTAGACTGTATAGGGGGACTCGTCTGAATACCTTGCGTTGGAATAAATGAAATGGGCAGGCCTTGAGGAAAATGGTACGGTGAAAGTAGTGCCTGTGGATACAGTACCGGAATATTTGAAAGCTTTGGCGAATGAGCACCTAGAGGGACCATTAGTTTTGGGGAAAGGACAGGGGTACGAGGGCTTAGGGGTGGAGGTGACTTTTTGGGAGTTTCTGATCTTGGGGGAGTAGTTTGCTCTCTTTTTATATTAAAAGCATTTTGGCTTAACAAATATCTTGTTTTTGGATCAGGAGACATAAGTTTTGGAGACAGTTTTTCATGACTTTTGGGTGAAGTGGTGACCTTTGGTGGCGACACAGACTTTGACAGCTCTCTGTCAGATGAGGGTGATTTTGGTTCTGATTTCACATGATGCGATGGTGGAGAAGAACTTTGTGGAGATCTGACTGGTTCCTTGGGAAATGATTGTGATAACCTTTGAGATGAGGGGGAACCAGTCTCTACTGATATGTTATCGTCTCCAGATCTTAAATCTTTTAATGCATGTTGGGAATTCTGAGATTTTGGAATATCAGTCAGATCATTTTCATCCTTAGATCTATATGCACTAGGTATGTTCTCATTATTTCCATCTTGGGAATTCCAATTTCTATCATCTATCTCGAGTAAGTCTTGTTCTTGTTTTATACTATGACCATTAACAGCGATGTCATTTTTCCATTCTCTCAGCTTCTGTGGTGAATCTAATTTCTCATGACTAGAATAAGTTTTATTTGTCCTTGAACTCTCAACCGAGCTTGACCTTGACCTTCCGTTAGAAATCTGACTGTCCCGTGACACTGATCTTTCGTTTTCCATTTGTCTATCGTGATCAGCTTTACTTGTTCCAGGCAATTGTTCAGGGTGCTTCGTTTGCATATGTATAAGTAAACTGGTTAGCGAATCAGCAATATATTCATTACAATGTTCACATCTTAAACTTTTCAAGTTTTTCATGGCCTCTAATGCTGCTATTTCATGCATACGTAAATGAATAACGAAATCACTAACGTTTCCGAATGTTTGTCCACAAGCCGCACATATCTGCGTAAGCATATTTTGTCCCAAGAAAGGAACCATATTTTCAGATTTTTCAAAAGACTTTCTCGACCTCCTTCTCTTGTATGGCTCATTTTTCATTCTAATCAATTCCGTTTCCATATCAACGGGACCCTTTTCACACAGACCATTCTTTTGTATGGGTACCAACGGGGGTTCCTCAAATTCAATCATATTGTCATCAGTGAACTCTTCACCGTTTTCAACATGCATTTTTCCATGCATTCTCATACCTCTTGCGGTGTTTCCACGGTAACCACATAAATTACATTTGAATGCTTTGGTTGGTACATGAACTTTCATGTGTTCTGACAGACGATTTTCTGTTTGTGTAACATAGTCACAGTAGAGACAACGTAACAACGGAGCAGGTGCCATTTCCCCCATACATATATGAAGTTTCAGCAGCCTTGCTGAACTAAAGTCATTTTTACAATTTTCACACTGGTATGTTGAAAGGTCGGAGGAATTTGGACTTGACCTTTCCCCGTCTCTATCATAACTGTCTTTGTCACTACTACTTTCATTACTGTCTTTTCCATGGGGACAATAGAACTCTTTGTGCGCCTTTAGAGTTCCTGCTGAACTGAATTTGATCTTACAAGGAATGCAGTAAAACTTATAACAAATTTCCTCTCTCTGAGCCAAATCTTGTGCAGAATCATCTTGGATTTTGGCTGCCACATCGTTCTTCTGTTTCGATACTGTTTCTGTGCTATTTATAGATTTTGATCGTTCCGATGGTTCGGTATTTTTCATTTCCTGTTCTCCGTTTTCAGAATCAGAGGACATGGAATCCTTATTTCCACGTCTGCCGGAGCAATAATGCTCTTTATGTATAAGATAGTTCTCATGTTTATAAAACACAATGTTACATTCAACACATCTGCTGACCGACTGAAGTGGAGGAATTGGTTTTTTATTCACATACTGAACCTGGTTGCCTAGCAACAATGAAGAATGTAAGGATGGAATGTTGAGAGGAGTTTTGGTACTTGGAACAGACTGATCGGCTACTTTCTCTTCACTAAGTCTCATTTTCTTTGCAGGGGGGCTGTCCTGTTCATGTGGACTGCCTCGTTCATGTTTTACAGAACTTTCACAGCCTGGTTCACTGTCTTTATTCGACTTTGATTTACTAAGATCCAAAGGTTCATCATCGGACCGTGGTTTTGTAGAGGTTTCAGTGTTAGAAACGGGACTTGTCATTAGTGACGTAGTCTTCTTTAATTTCTCTGCTTCCTCAGAGTGTTTACTCTTTAAAAACAAGTCCTGAAGAAATAAAGGTGAGGCAAGTAGTGGATTGGCTGCCAATAATGCTGGGTGTAGCTGCCCTTTGGCTCCTAGTAACTGACTTTTCCCATCCAAGACTAGACGTTGTGATTGTAACATTTTCAGTGTTAAATCGAAGCTCGACTCCCTTGATGCCGGAGATGCCAACTCACTGATGTTTTCTTCGCTATTAGTCTGGCTTCCAGTTAGACGATACTGACAATAAAATTCCTTATGCCCTCGGTAAGTGCTTACTGAGGAAAACTGAATTTTGCATTCCTTGCAAAATGTCTCCTGTTGGCAGACGGGTGACACAGACAGACGCTCTGACCCGGCAGCTGTGTCTGCAGAGTGTGTCTGCTGGTGAAGTCTCAGACTTGAGACCTGATCAGTCGTGAAATTACACAATTTACACTTGTAGTGGTCACCAGATTTTGGAGATTTTCTTTTGTTTTCTTCTGAATCTGTGATATTTTTCTCTGATGGGCTTCCAGATTTTAATTCAACAGATCTTCTGGTACTTTGTGGTGAAAACTGATCAACTTTTGATGCCTGGCTTGCATTCGGACCTGAAATGGATAGCAAAGTTAACTAAACAAGAGCTTATATAGTTTATACAAATTTATTTTAGTTTGATTGTGCTGGAAGCTGTAAGCTTATTGAAACACTCTTGAATTCATTCACATGGAACCAACCAGTAATAAGCAAAAAATGTAAAAGTTTCTTGCTCATGGAAACAATGGTTTGCCCCTGACTGGGTCTGAACCCAAGCTGCCACCAATCCTTAGATTACTAGTCTGACATGTAACCACTCAGCCATACCACTACTTTATTAAATAAATAGTATATTTAGCCAATTCAAATAACATTTGTGGTATGTTACTATTCTCGAGAGAAAAACAACGAAGCAAAAAGCACATCTGGAATGTCATATACTTTTACATATGCTTGGAAAAGTAATATTGTGCTTAACTCAAATAATATGTTATAAATAATTTTTGAACTATAGAAAAATAAAAATGAACAAATTAAGAAAAGTAAGAAAGACATAGTATGAAAAAAAAATATTTAAAGAAAGGCAATATTAAACCATTAATAAGAATGGAATCACAATGTAAAACTAATTATAAGAAAGGAATTATTACAAGACAAATACAAAAATAAAGATTAAAAGTACTAAATTGCAAAACTGTTTATATATAAGGAACTCCACTGAGGTCCAAAAGCCTAAAAACATTAAACTTAATTTTTACAAAGATCAGCGGGAGCACTCAAAACAGAAAGATATGCAAAGATAATTAAGAAAATAATATACACAGGAATACATTGAAAATCCTGAAATTTTGCACACAAAAAACCTCAGTTGAGTCCCTTTAAGTGTTTAAAAAATAGAATTAAAGACAAATGATGAAAATAAAAATTCAAAAGCAAAAGTTATTTTAAAAAAAAAATTATTGTAATGTTGACAACCTAAAATCTTTATTTCTTTACCTGATTCGTCGTCTGCTTGTTCGGCCTGTTTTTCCAGCAATGTCCGTGCCTGCTGCTGTAGTTGTTGATGTAACTCCTGTAGGCTCACAAAATCCGGCGGCTTCTTTGAACAATAGTACGTCAAATGGGCTTCCAGCGTGCGGCGACTAGAAAACCTTACTCCACAGAACGGACAGCCATATATCAAAGCTGTAAAGTTAAAACAAGAAATATCCAAATAAAATGTCACTCAACAAAATTGGCAGCCATATATTATAGCTGTAAAGTTAAAACAAGAAGCCTTTAATTGAAATGTCACTTTCACAAGTATCACTGTATAAACAGCCATATACGATATCATAGCTGTAAAGTTAAAACAAGAAATATCCAATTAAAATGTCACTTAACAGAATGGGCAGCAATATATCATAGCTGTAAAGTTAAAACAAGAAATATCCAAATAAAATGTCACTCAACAGAATGGGCATCCATATATCATAGCTGTAAAGTTAAAACAAAGAAATTTGTAATTGATTTTTCTATGGTAACAAAAGTAAATAGGATAATTTGATGAGATAACACGGTTGTCACAGATGTTTGATCTTTAAACAGATTGTAGTGTCATTAATCTATAAAATATGAATAACAAACTGAATAACAAACAATGTCACTCTTTGCAGGCTATTTGTCATGTTGTGATGAGATAAATAACGACAAAACTGTCGGATTTAAGTCACACCTGTTTGTATTCATACCAATGGAGTATGGAACATCGCTCTATACTAATTACCATCAGCTAATTGATTCAAGACCAATTAGATACACTTTCAAAATTTTCAAAATTAAGTAGCCAAAATTTAGATAACTTTGCCCATTGTGCCCAATAAAGTTGGAAAGCAACCTCTCGAGAGTGGCCCTCTGTTAAACAATAACCTCTTTACAACAACTGTATCATAAATTCAAAAGTAAGAATTCAGAATATTAAACCTCTCTAGAACAGAACCTCTCAGAAATATCCAAAATATATAAATAAATAAATGAGCCGCGTCACGACAAAACCAACGTAATGTGTTTGCGACCAGCATGGATCCAGACCAGCCTGCGCATCCGCGCAGTCTGATCAGGATCCATGCTGTTCGCTATCAGTTTTGCTACTTGTAATAGGGTTGGTCAGCGAACAGTATGGATCCAGATCAGACTACGCGGACGCGCAGGCTGGTCTGGATCCATACTGGTCGCAAACATATTATGTTGGTTTTGTCATGACGCGGCTTGAATGTAATATTGGATCATTATCTCACATATGCCAACAACTTCCATATATAATTCTTTCATGGTTTGTTGTTATGACTGTAGGAGCAGTAGTCCAGTGGTAGGACGCGTGCTTAGGGATCGAGAGGTCCCGGGTTCGAACCCCACCAGGGGCACTGCTAATTTCCTTGAGCAAGAAATTTACCTGCGCTTGCTTCACTTCACCCAGGTGTAAATGGGTACCTGCGAGGGTGGTATAAGTCCGTTGCGCCAAAGTGTCGGCTGCACTAAGCGGAGTTAAAAGACTCCCCAGGGAGATTGATAGATAGATACCAGTAGCCCGATGACCAGGGGTAATAGCTGTAAAGTCGGTGAACGTGCGTAAGCATGAAACTTAGACTATAAAATGCAATTACTTTTACTTTTTTTTTTTTTTACAGATTGTCCATAATAAACCAGATCACTTTAACCGTAACTCTGCTAGAACTATTATGTGATAAGCTCTTAGCTCTTTGCCACCAGTATAGAGCCAGGCCAGCTGGCAGAGCTGTGTAGTCTGGCTCAACACTGTTGGCAGACTTTAAGTTTTTATGCTGAAATCCACTTAACATTCTTAAATAAGAAACTATACATGATTTAGTCAATCCAACATCAGCAGATTAAGGAATGCATCTTTAAAGGGACTCCACTGAGGTTTCTTTTTTTTTACATGACGGGATTGGAAATACTTTTCCAATATTTGTGTACAATTTTATGAATTAGACCAATAACTGATGTGCAAATTTTAGATCATTCCGTCTCCCCGTTTTTCCAGAATCATCATTTTTATTGTGCAAAATGACCCAAAAATTTGAAATCAGGCCAAGAATCACACAAAAAAAATTATTTTCAAATTAATTCTGAGCATATTTCTTTATTATCCATTGCAGATTTTTTCCTTTTTAAGTGCTTCACCTGAATTATGTTTGAATTTTAAATTTTATGTTTTTTAGGCTTTTTGACCTCAGTGGAGTTCCTTTAAACATCAATGATCAAACAAAATGACCTACCTGGCTGAGGGGTAATGTGAGGGACTGTCTTGGATTCTGGTTTCTTTAATGCAACCTGTGTAGTTCTAGTTTCCCTTATTTGGGCCTCACTTTTTTCACCAGTTAATTTCTCTCTCCCTGTGTGGGACGACTCTTCCTCACTTGTAGTGAAAGACGCTAAGAGTTCTGTCCCTTGATCCAAATCTTCAACAATTTCACACCAAATTTTTCCCTCTGAAAATAGACAATTAGAACATTATTTATTTACCTAAACACTTCAATGCCCTTTAACATATGAAAGAAAGACACTTTAAAGTTAAAAATTATCACAATAGTAAAGAATTTACATATAAAAAAACCCAAACAACACAATTAAGTTATCTCAAATTCAAATCTTGAATTGAACACTCAAATTTTAGTCTGAAACCATCCCTTTTCCATTCTTTCTTCTTATTTTCTAATAAAAATTATATTAAAACCTAAATCAATAAGTTTTAAAAGTCCATCTTCTGTTGAAAATACATTTTTGTGAACAACACCTATGAGGAGTAAAATTACTATCCCTTTAAGGCAAAACTTTTTACTTCTTACCATTAATTTTCTAATGCAAAGAAAAGAGTTGTCACAACATGTAATGAAATTATTTTCTTTTCATCATTACAAGATTAAAACACAAAACAAAACAGGAAAAAAACTTGTCCGATTTTTACCTTTTACCTTTAAAAATGCTTTATCATTATAAAAACATTAAAATCTTTCTGTAATTACAGAAAACATTTGACACAAACGTGGCACTGTCAAATTTGCATATTAATTAATAATGTTTTTAAAGAGGTATCCAATAAAGATTCTTTGCAAGACATTGGTATAAATACAGCAGCTGGGAAAAAGAAACTCAGTTAATTGAGCCGCGTCATGACAAAACCAACGTAATGCGTTTGCGACCAGCATGGATCCAGACCGCGCAGTCTGATCAGGATCCATGCTGTTCGCTTACCAACCCTATTACAAGTAGAGAAACTGATAGCGAACAGCATGGATCCTGATCAGACTGCGCGGATGCGCAGGCTGGTCTGGATCCATGCTGGTCTCAAACGCACTATGTTGGTTTTGTCATGACGCGGCTCAATTCTCTTATCATACAATGTAATTATTAATTTGTTGTTTTTTTCTGTCACAAGAAACCCTGATATGGATTGTATTTATGATTGTACATTCCATTAAAAATTGCATGTCATAATTAAAAACTAGTGTCAATTTAATCAATGTGACACTATAAAAGATCAGACTCGTTTATGGATGAGAAACTCAAATCTTATCACAAAATCTATTAATAGTTTGAAATATTTGCTTTAACCGTTGTAATGAAATAACTCAAAACTCACAAATTGTACAATATATTTCTCAAAACTTTCAAAACTCACAAAACGTATCATAAATAACTCAAAACTCAAAATATGTACCATAAATTACTCTAAACTTGCAAAATGTATCATACATAGCTCAAAACTCACAAAATGTATCATACATAACTAAAAACTCACAAAATGTATCATAAATAACTCAAAACTCACAAAATGTATCATAAATAGCACAAAACTCACAAAATGTATTATATAGCTCAAAACTCACAAAGTGTATCATAATTAACTCAAAATTCATAAAATGTATCATAATTATACACTTTTAAGCTCAAAATTCACTAACCTTATTATAAATGACTCTAAACTCACAAAATGTATTGCAACTAACTCAAATTGTGTCAATCTTTTCCAAACTTTTATTACATCTGAGCTAAAATATATCTAATTGTTAATACAACTACAACCTGTTTAATTTAACCTATTTTGTAAAATACATGTACATCAAAAATATTATACTGAAAAACAATAAATTCAGTAATAGTAACTGTTAAATATTTATATAATATTATATAAAATATCTATAATATTTAAACATCCCTGTTAACTTCCTTTTTCCTATGTTAAGCACATGTGATAATCTTGTTACTTCCACGATTATAATTTACGATCAATTGTTTTTTTCTTCAATAAAGATCAAAAGAGACGCGTTGAGAGAGATAAAAATATTTTTATTATACACCTTTAAAGTTGTATGAACATTCATTTAAGGTTATATATTTTATAATACAAAATATTTTATAATACAAAATATTTCCTAATTCAAAATATTTTATAATACAAAAAAATTCATAATTCAAAAATATCTTATAGTGCAAATTAATCTTTTCAAAGTTAAGCAAATATTAGACGATCAATGATTTTCTCTTTAATCAGTAATCAGGGTCTTTCAAAACAGATCTGACAGCCCCTGCTAAAACCTCTTGTCAATTTTGTTTTCTTGAAAATAAATTATATATTTTCTTACCTTATAATTATGTTGTATATGTTGACTTGTAATAAGAACAGAAGTTTATAAAATAAACAGACAAGAGGAGAGGAGTGTGTTATTTACGAGATTTAATTAATCGCTAGTTTGATCGTACACTCGTAATCTGACCAACCAATCAATCAGGTTTTTGTTCACACGGCCGATCATATCAAAAAATTTAAATATTTAACACAAATTTTACGATCGCCAAGATCTGTATTTGGGCAATCAAGAGATCTGATGAATTATTCCCATAAAACCTGAATTAAACTCGATATTGTGCGAATAAATTAATCTAGATTTTACAAAAAAGATAAAATAAATGATTGAATTAATTCAGATTAGAGATAGCATAAAAATATTTCGCAAATCAGTCATTGGGCCTTATCTAACATAACACGTTGAAATAACAAAAGATATCTCCTCGACTAGATCAAAGCGTGATCTTTATTTCTTCTTACAGAATGCAAACCCAAATCGAAGCAAAGCCTACAAGTTGCAGGATATTTCCGCGATCGCCCTAGGAGATAATGTTAAGACGAAACTGTGAGAATATTTGAATAAAGTTCTTTAACGTAGATAATTTCGTAGTATATCAAAATCATCTAATTAGACTGCCTGTTAGATTAAGGTATTAAATTATATCACTGGTGATTAAAACTTTATTACTTGAAATTTTACCAAATCTACGTACCCTATGACATTGTATAAAATATCCTTATCATGACACACAAAAATACAAAACAGGCAAATAAAAAAAAAAAAATTGTCACAAATTGAAATAACTTCTAAACTCATAATTAAAATTAATTGATCTCTCTCTATATGCATGCTATCTTCTGACTTGTATTTATATGTATTGTATTTTAAATAGACAAGAACATAAGAGCTCAAGTCTACAAATAAAAATTTTGTTCTATTCTGTTTTGTGTTTATTGTATAATAAAGTGAGCTGGAAAAATATTTCAAGCAAAAAAATATATTATAAATAATTTAAAATAAATCAAAGATATCAATTCTATATTGTTATTTTCACTTTCAGGTGGTTTCAGTTTTGTTGATTTCTCTAAATGTAAATTAAGCCCTTTAAGCAACATTTACTACAATAACAGAACTATCAGAACTTTGTCAACATTATTACATTAGCCACTAGCCCAGATAATGCACATACAGCAGTCTAACCAGACCCTAAATATAATTTGTTTCTACAATTTTACACTCACTGATTCATATATTAAGTGCCACAAATTTGTTAACCCCACTCTATATCTGAAATGGACTTGTCCATCTTTCAATCTGGACAAAACCATTTATAGTGAAAATCAAGTCTTAAACAGCAGACTGAGACTCAATTTTAACCAAATTATGTAAATATTCAAATTCAAAAGCCATAAAATTCAATCAAAAGTCTGTCAAACCTATTAAAGGTGAATTTAACACAGTCATGCATAAATCATAATTATGAAAGTTGACACTATTGGCTCACATGTGTTGAAAGGTTTTGACGAATGTGCATTCAAGCATCAAAATAATCTAAATAACTCCACCCACTAAAACTTTTATCATAATGCATCATATAAGATCAATTATTCCCAACTTAATGCCTTTTTTGTTGTTATTTTACATATTTTAGATATTTATTGTAATTTTTCACCTTAAATAATTATGGTTCATGTGTTTACACGCAATCAGGCTGAAATTAAAGGAACTTTGTATAAACATGTTAATACTTGACCATTTTTTCATTTATATATAGCTTTCTGTAATTAGTTTTGAAGATATATAGATGAAAATTAAAACTTATACCTGGAAAGTAAAATATACCTATATGATTATAATTATGAAATTCAGACTCTGACCAGTTTGAGGTACATTCACCTTAAGTTAGCCGACAGTAAAGAGGCTGGTCAGACTGCACAGATGTTCAGGCTGGCCTGGCTCTATACTGGTGGCAAACGTTAATCACATTTAGGTCCGGCAAACTAAAGGTTAATAAAATCCTGTAGAAATACAAGGTACAAGGCATAATGGAAAAGATACTGAAATTTTCAGTTTTTACTATTACAACTCATGTTTGATCGCTTCTTCTGAGAAATAAAGAAATTAGGATCGAAAACTGATAACTTTTCGAGCAGTCTTGTCAAAGGCTTATTATATATTTTTTTCTTTCCAATAAAGATCCTCATCAGGATAATTCAGAAAAAATTATCGGAGATGAAGATTCATTAATTGAAAATAAAAGTCTGCAGTTTTTCAAAACACAAGAATCTCTGAAGATTCTTAGAATTTCCTTATCGCAGAGAACTTCAAAGCCGATAATTTACCATATTTCAAATAGTCGCCATGGCAAAAAATGAAAAATCAACAAATTGTCACGTTTTGCTTACTAAAATATGCACCAATAAATATAACATTGTGCAAATGCTATGTATTTTTATGATCAGATAAGCTGCCGCGATACGGGACACGCAGTATACAAAATTACGAGCTTATTATACAAACACGGCACTGATGGGTTGAGAGAAAAAATTGACGAATAAAACACTGAAATAAGAGTACCTGCTTTCAATCCATCTTATTGAAATGTTGATGAATGAAAATCCTATATTAATGATATGTCAGTTTTTATTTCGCATTATTCTTCAATATCATGCTTATCAACACGTATTGTGTAGAGAGAGTACCTGACGGTGATAAACATCAGTGATAAGGTAATGATCTATCTCGTATGACAAACTATCCTATTCAAATGATGAACCGATTTTGCTGATGTTTTAATACACAAAGAAAATATTTCAGTAATCGGCTTAAATCTAATCCGTCCTCCTACCCTCATTTGCATATCAAGTAAAAATTAGCATATCGTAATATGTCTCATTTTTTACTCAGCAAAATGAGATCTTATCAGAGGCTGACATTATCGCTTGCTTTTTCGTGAACACCAGAGATTATTATGATGTTGAGGCAACAAGGCAAGCTTTCATAAGACCCAGATTCATCATGCCTTATCGCAAGCTTCAGAATGAATTTGATTGGGAGCGATTTGCATATTGAGATAAAATTGATTTTACATAATACTAGGAGGATTATATTTCGGACAAAAATAAATGTAAATTCTCCACATCGATTCAGAACGTAGATAAACTGCATCGAAGAATTTCAGTATTTATGAATAAAACTAAATTATGGCCATAATATTTAAATTTTCTAGATAATGCTGGATTCTTGGGATTATGTTCATATCGTTGTAATAAAACATTTGCTCAAGATCAAGGGCTGTAATAAATGAACCGGAATAAATTTTCAAAATCAGCCCATTGATCTAGCAATATGAAAACCAACACTGATGGGTTGGATATCCATATTTAATTCATTGAGACGATATGGAACAATAAAATCCTTATAATGTGTTGTTTTTTTTCTTTCATATTCCAATATATGAATAATAATGATACTGTAAGCAAAGGAATTAATGTAACACAAAAAAATATAAATAAATAAACGAATGAAATATAATTCCGCAAAAAAGAGCATGAATCATAATTTCATTATCGATTTTCTTTGACCTCTTAATTGGCACTCGTCATGCATTATAAACTCATTCACTGGTAATGAAAATGAGCCGGTCATGATCCAAAACTCATAATTTATGACCAAAATGATAAGACCAGTTTACAGTGCATTCCTGACATCTTGGTACCAAGAACATGCATTTCCTTTAAAGAGTATATACAAGTAGCGAAAATTGGAAGCAAGGATCCTAATCAAAGCCAGTATCGCAACTGGTTATCCTGTTCAAAATCCCATTCAGTGTCATCATAAACGAAGCTCATTAATGACAAAATTATGATATTATCAGATTATTCAAAATGATAACATATATAAGTCTGACAGTTGAAAGAAGAACAGTTTACTATTATTAAAATTTATATAATAAAACTTTTTTAAAGCATTTTACCATTAAAGGGAGGTAAACTGTAACCAGTCTCAAATTGAAACAAGAACCATAAAGTATAAATCATTAAATCTTTTCTTAAAATCTATTCGGCATAACATCAACAAAAACATGCAATCATAAACAAAATTTCAATAATTATCAGATTTAATAATAATGTTTATAAATCAGAAAAAGGGGGTCTTGTCAGTAACAAAAATTGAGAATGCACAGAAAAAATTCCTTTCTAAAAAATACAAACCAAAAGTCATAAAACTTTAACACAAAACCACATAATATCATCATCATTGTCAATGTTTGTATTAACAAAATGTTTAGATAATTAAGAATTTGGCATAGGGACTGAAGGTTTTTGACTTACATAACTTCTTCATGAAAATGATAAAAGGCCATAATCCAGGTCAAACATATCCAATCACGAGACTCACAACACAATCCACGGCATGCACTGACAAATCCGCTGAAATCAAAATACGGTGCAAAATAGAGATTGCAACAGAAAATATGTAACACAATCTAAAGAAGAAAACAATCACGGCCCAAATTACAAATAGTATCGCAACACAAACACGAGCTGGACAAAATCCCAGCACTGCATGACAAATCCAAGAGTTGGTCAAAATCCAGAGAGAAATACGAAGTCCACAGAGAAGCTACACACCATCCCTGACGCCCGCCACGCCCAATCCCGCCGCACGCACTACCACAATCCACGATCACGAAACCAAAAATCAGATTCACAAAAATCTCAGCGCCCAATTACAAGACTTGGTACAAGACACTTCACGAGCCTCACGAAACATTCAAAGCTGGCACGCACCACACAACCACAAGCGGGCACACACAATCCAAGAGCTGGCACACACACAATCCACGAGCACGCACACACACATTCAAGCGCGCAGGCGCACACACAGCAATCATTATCAATCAGAATGAAAAGTGAAACGATTACACAAATTGTTTTCTAAATACACTTTTCCAAGTAAATATCTTCGAAATAATCAGTCGAAAAATCAAAATGTCATTAATTTTCATTGCATATATCTGAAAACTAGAAGGGAAAAAATAAATCACTTGTGAACGTTTTCCCCCCAAAAGCTTGACAGCAATAATAGAATTACTGGAATAATCTGAAGCACTCTTTTAATCAAACATCTGATAATGAAACTGGCAATACAGCATGAATGATAAGCAATCTTTTCATATAGAAATTCCACCCATATCTAGAGCTATACCAGGTCTCTCTCTCTTGTTTCAAATTAGAAATGTTGTAAATTTTATTTTACTTTTTTTTAGAATTTTATGTTGATTTAAATCTAAATTGACGATGATATAATATGCCTCTTTAGTAAGTTTCTACAAATATTTCAATGTTCTTGTACTTTTTATTCGCATATCTATAATAAAGAAAAAAGTCAGCTCATTAATAGGAGAGCTATGTTCCATTAAATTGTAGCCCTGGAACATTTCCTGTTCATCTGCTAAACCCCCCCATCCCCTTTGGGTGCCTGCCTACCCCCAGGGAATTGTGGGGAGTATGACTTTTGGATTATCACATTCCTGTTAAAAGCTTTTACCATTGACTGCATCAGTCTATAGTTACAATAGGTAAGTTAAAATTCCGAGCAATACAAAGTACATTTTTTAGTTTATTTAATTATTAACTAATACAGCGAAGTAAATCAATGCTTTAGAATAAAAGCCCATTAATCATTTATCATTCCCATAGAATTGTAAACCTTTGTGGATTTCCCTATACCCATTTACCATCAGAGGAGCCACAAATGATAAGAGAGGGGTGATGGGGGAGAACCCCTTGCTCCCCCCCCACCCGGGTGAAGTCCCAACCTTCTGAAAGGAAATTTTGCCACAGTATGGATATAGGCTACTTTGGTATTTAAAATTTTCCTGTTAAAATTTGATAATAGATTCCAAAATTGAATCTGGACATTACTACTTAAATTTTAGTGGTTAAGGTTTAAATTTGATCATGCTACTACCATAGAACCAAAAATGTTTACTTTTTTTGCAAATGGCTGATATCATTGCAGAATGTACTATAGCAAGATCAAGGGTCTGGTCAAAGCCTTAGCCAAACCCTAACCCATCCCATTGACACCTCAAGTACTGTAACTATGTACATATTTCAAAAGAGATAACAAATTAATAAACTGTCCCTGCAGTTTAAACATTTTCTTTTTAAGTATGTTTATAAAATCTCTACTATAAAACAAAACTTTAAAGATTTTAAAAGTCTTAAAAGTAACATTATCACAATGTTAACTGTATCATCTGATGTTTGTAACAACCTTTCTAAAACAATTATTTCCCCCATATTGAACGAGCATATCAGCCTCTTTATCATTACCAAGATAAAATTGTTTTGCGCCCAAGGAACCCCATATATAGAATATTAAATATCGTCTAAATCGGCCCTCCAATCAGGCACGTAAAACTCGTAGATACATATCTTCAAGTTTATCGTAAATCTATGGTAAATTACAGCCCATTTACTTTCTAGAAAATTGCTAATCCTTTTATAGTCCCTCGGCATAAGGGTTTTTTTTATCATTTTCTCCTATTTTTTTTTACGTACATTACATTTTGATAATATTAAGAGATAATACGGGTACCATTTAAAGCCGGGATACGATCTGGCCTCTGGGTCTAGAGATATTAGAGATTATTTCAGTGATATTTGTACACGCATTAGAAAAAAACAGAAAAACCGTACACAGCAACTTTTTTTGTGTGTGTTTTTTCAACTTTTCACCCAAACAAATTAACTGCCTAATTATATGTCTAATTATCTAATTATATGACATTTTTACAAGCAGTGGTGTCTTTGTCAAAAGTACTGATAACCGTTTGGAAATTCTCTAATCAAGAATTAAAATCGAAAATATAAATTCAAGATTAAAATTTTTCCGCAAGTTATTAGTTCGTACAACAAAAGTGTTGCGATGATATAATCTGAAACGGCTATCTATAACATATCTCTAATAATGTAATGTAAAGTACATTAATCTGACAAGTTTAGGCACATTTTTGCTATTTCTTTAATTTTATAAAGTTTTGATTTAGTTTGACCCTTAAACTTAAAAGCTTGCGGCCAAAGAAATAAACTTTATGCTATGTTATGCTATATGTTGTGTTATTTGTGTTGTGTAATATGTTATATGTTTCTTTTGCTTTAAGTAATGTTCTGTTATGACATTTTAATTGTGTTTATGTTGTGTGGTATGTGTTGGTGAGGTGCTTTGTTGTGTTATATATTTCTTTTGCCTTAAGTTATGTTATTTGTTATCTTCTGTTATAATTTTGTTTATGTTATGTGTAGTGTTGTGTGATATGTGTTGGTGTATTGTGTTGTGTTTTGCTGTGTGGTGTTGTTGTGTAGCTTTCTTTTGTGTTGGTGTGCTGTGTTATGCTGTGTTGTGTCATGTAACATACAAACTCACCTTCAAAGACCACCTGTGTATTATGGGTATTGGCGTGATCAGCGGGCCTCAGTAACGATAACCAAGCACCATATGACTCTGTGACCTTGATGAACGAGAATTCTCCGTCGCTGCCTTCAAACTGAAAAAATAAATAAAACAATTTACAAATATTTATAATTTCTGAGTAAAACACATTTCTAATGATTTCAACTTTAATATTGCAAATTGTAGTGAAGTTTTATAATTTCACAGAAAATAATTAAATTTTCTTTATTTCAAGCCTTTGAGTATATATCTATTGTGTTTGAAGCACCCGGCTTTTAAAACCATATGAGCCGTGCCATGACAAAACCAACATAATGGGTTTGCGACCAGCATGGATCCAGACCAGCCTGTGCATCTGCGCAGTCTGATCAGGATCCATGCTGTTCGCTATCGGTTTCTTTACTTGTTATAGTTTGTAAGCGAACAGCATGGATCCTGCAGATGCGCAGGCTGGTCTGGATCCATGCTGGTCGCAAACCCATTATGTTGGTTTTGTCATGGCACGGCTCATATAAGACTTTAAGTATTGAATAATTGAATTTCGAGAAAATGTCAAATGCTTGCAGGCCTGTTTAAAATTTTTTTTTATATTCAACTCTTCTCTCATACTAACCCAAAAGAAGTTTAAAAAAGTCCTCTTTTTAACCCTTGCCCTACAACCCCCTTAGTCCAGGGGGCCCTTTAAAATTTTTGAGCAATTTAAAACCACTGTTTATAAAGAAACATTTAATTTTTTTTTTTTAAAATATAAATTTTTTGTTTTTTTTAAATAAAAAACTTTTTTGGCCCAAATTTTTTCTGGGCTGGGAAAAATCAGAAAAGAGAAAACAAAATTAAGCCAAAAAAATTTATTGGCAAAATTTTTTATGAAAGATTTTTGAGGCCCCGCCAAAACCCTTTAAATTTTTTTTTCTCCTTTAAAAAGTTTTTTTTTAAAACAAACTAACACAAAAAAATTAGTTTTTCAAATTTTTCTTTTTTTTTAAAAAAAAACTTTGAAAAAACCTAAACCCTTTTTTTTGAAAAAATGGACTTGCTCAAAATTTTAAAAAAAAAAAACTTTGTTTTACGATTTTTTAAAACCCAAGCGAAAAAGGGGTTAAAGGTAAGTTTTTATCCGAAAAACAGCTTTCCAACAAAGAGATTGAAAATTTTTTAAAAACGCATCTTTAAATGTAAAAAAATGCCGTATACCAAGTGATTAGAAAATTGGACCTACCTGAACAAAAGCTTTTGTCAAAAATTTTTTTTGAAAGTAGACAAAGTTTTAATAGTTTTATTTTAAAATCTGAAATTCAAATCCTTTCAATCCTTTAAATGTAAAAAAAAGTCCATATTTTTCCCTTTGGAAACAAAGGGAAAATCCAATTAAAATTTTTTTATCAATTTTAAAAATTGAGTAGTCGAACCCTTTTGCTTTTTAATATATTTTTTTAAAAAATCCGCCTGTCCCCAAGCACCATAAAAATAAATACGTTCAAAGAAAGCCTAAGGGCTGGATAGAATTCTCTTCCATTTTTTAAATGTTTGAATGGCTTTGAAAAGTAAATTTAAAAGGAAATTTTGAATAAATTTCAATTTTTTTTTAAAAATAACAATATGTTTAAAATGTATTGAAAAACTCATTTGCAATTTGAGTAAATGTTTTCACAAGATTTTGTTCCGCTATTCCTACTTAAATACTACTGACCCAGTCTGTACATTTGTGCATGTCTCAATGGAGGATGACAAACTTCAAATTTTTATCTTATTATCTTCTTCTCCCCCACCCCCATCAAACTTCCCCACCCCCCAAAACCTCCAAGGCTAAAAAACAAAAAAACTAAATTTTAAAAAGTCGTATAAAAATTGCAGGTGGGGGGTTAAGACCTGTATGCCAAATTAGCACAAAAAAATTTAAAAACATGTTATGGGGGACCAGTCACCAGGGGTTAAATTGTCTGCCTCTAAAAACCGGGGGTTTAAGTTCAAACCCTTAGGGAAAACCCCTTTTTTCCCCAAAATGTCACAGAATGATTGTTTAATTCCCAGATTTTCAAGACTTGAAGTTTTTAAAAACAAAAAAATTTTTAATTTTTTAAAATTTAATTGAATCCATAACTAAAATAATTTTTGTTTTTTTATAAAATTTCAAATTCAACATTTCCCAAAATTTCATATACAAAAAATCAACCCTTTTTAAATAAAATTGGGGTTAAAAAAATTTATTTGTCTAATTAATGAGCACACCAAATTTCCCCAAATCTGATACTTTGAAATTAAATTATTTCTTTAAAAAAACAATTTTAAAAATTTTTGTTAACAAACAAAACTGATTACAACCAAATTAATTATTTTACCAAAAAAATTTGGAATGACTCAAAAAATTTAACCCCAAATCTAATTTAAAAACCCAAAATTTAAACATTTTTTTAAAAGGAAGTCCCGCCAAATTTTTCCTAGAGCAAAAAAAAACAATTTTTTTAAATAATATAGGGAAAAGCATGCAGAAACCAAAATTTTTAAACCCAAATTTTAGTTACAACCAAAAAAAACTTTTGTAAATAATATGGGAAAAAGCCAACCACCAAATTTAACCAAAAAATTTTGATTTTAAAACCCCAATTTTTTAACAATTCTGTATACCAAATAAACATTTGTATATTAAAATGCAGCATACCAATTAACACTCCTATACAATTTTAAAAAAAATCAACAGTTTGTAAAATGTTTAAAAAAGTAAAAAATTTTTTAATTTTCCCCATGAATTACTTAAAGCTGACTAAAACACGTACAGATATTTTTAAAATTTTATCGCAACGTTTTTATTTTTTTTTTAAAATTTTTTTTTTCAGTGCCCTAAAAGCTTCGATTAGTTTTACGATAAAAAACCATTTGTAAGTTTGACAAGTGTCATTCATAATTTTTGCCTGATAATTAAAGATAAAAATTTATAAATATGAGAATTTAGATTTGTTTTTTTTCTTTCTTTTTTTTATAAAATGCTTTTTTCGAAAACTTAAAACTCGAAATTTGAATTAAAATGATCAATGTAATAAAATAGTATTTAGCTTTGCTTTTTCCCCTTTTAATGATTTAAAAGATATTTCAAACTTGTAGCAATTAAAAGGGCATTTAATTTTTTTTTTTTTTTACATTTTTAATACCTCAAAGCTCAAATGTCATTAAGAAAAAAAAAAATGATCTCATTTTTAATTTTCTTTTTATCAAAAAAATTTTAAAATATAACTGAATCTGAAAAACAATGTTGTTTTAAAAAGAAATTTTGTACTTAAGTATTCATTTGCTAATCTATTTTCATTAAAACCCCATTATTACTTTTTACACCTCCAAAAAGAAAAATTTCTTAAACAAAGCAGGTATTTTACTAAGTTTTAGGGAAACTGTTTTTAAATTTTAGATTTTTGTAAAAAAATTGTTTATGTTGATAAGAAAAATTTGAGTTCAGTTTTTTAAAATTTCTGGCCCTTTTTTAAATTTATATGCAGAAAAGGATTTCCTTTTTTTTTTTACATGCTTGTAATGGAAAACTTTTCCTTGTGATTTCAAAGTATTTTTCTATTAAATTATTTTAAAAATTTTTTATGAAAATTGCATAACCCAAAAGGGTCTTTTAAAAAAAGTTTAGTTTTTTTAAAAATTTTAACCCATTTGGGAAACAAAACCGGAAAAAAAAAAGTCGCAGCGCAAAAAATACCCCGTTTATGTACAAAATATTGAATATTCCTAAAATAGAAGGTTTGTCCATTTAAAAAGGGAAAGTCCCTTTTAGAATTAAGTGGGTTAGGCTTTTTGTTTTAAACAAAATGGGAAAAAAAAAATTTTTCAAAAAACTTTTTTCAGTATCAAAAATTTGATACCAAGTAAAATTTAACCAGCCTAAATCTTAAACAGGCCCAAATAATTTTTATCAAATTTCAAATGCCAGATAATTTCAGCCAGGTTTTAAAAAACGACATTTTTATTTTTATTTTATTTATTTTTTTTTTTTTAAAAAAAACAAACTGACAAAATTCCTCAAATTAATGTAAATTTCGCAAATTTTTTTCCCTTTGGTGGTTTAAGGAAAATCCTCGAGCCCAGACAAATTTTAAAATTTTGAGAAGCCCTTGAAAGAAGGAAATTGCCCTGGAAAATTTTCTTAGAGATTTTAAGGAGCCCCTGGGGCCTTTTAGCAAGTGCTGAGCAGTTTTAAAAAGCCCTTCCTTGAAGAAGTCTTTTAGGAGATTTAAGGAGAGTTGCAAGTTTCTTAGAGTTTAAGAGCCCCGGTGCTTTGGGAAGGCTTTAGGGAGAAAGAGAAAGGTTTGAGGAAGTCTTTAGGATTTAAGGGGGCCCTGGTTAAAAGGCTTGAGGATTTAAGGAGGTTTTTTGAGAAGTGCTTAGAGTTTAAGGGGGCGTGCTAAAAAAAACCTTGAAATTTTAACCCAAAAAATTTTACAAAAACCTAAAATTTTTTAGACACTTAACCAAATTTAAAAAAAAAGGGGAAAAACAAAATGAAATTTCCTGGTCAACCATAAAAAATTTAAGTGTTTAACCCGACATTTTATATGTTTCATAAAAAACACAATGCCACAAAAAGGGCAAATCAATTCTTTATTTTTTTTGCCCAATTTAAATAATCATATCCAAAAGACTCAGAAAACCAAAAATTTTAAAATTAACAAAAATTACAACAGAAAATAATTTTTTTTGCATTTCTCCATAAAATTTTTTTTTTCAATTCCATTAAAAAATTTAAAAAATTTTTTTTTCCTTTTTTTTAAAAAATATTGGGAAAAATTTATTTAATGTTGAAAAAAAGAAAAAAAAATTTTTTTTTGGCCTTTTAAACTTTTTTTTCCCCCCCTTTTAAAAAAGGATCTTCTTTATATTTAATAATTTTTAAGGCTAACCCGACATTTCAAAAGAGTTTTCATGCTTTTATCTTTTGAAAGCCACGAAATAAAATTAAAAAAATTTTTAAACAATAAAAAAATCAAAAAAACTTGCCATTTTCAAAGATTTTTTTCTTCCAGTTTTAACAGCCTTTTTTGGCTTTTTTAAATTTTTGGAAATTATTAAAAACAAGTTAAAAGGGTTATACCAGGTTTT